GGAAAAGGGCGGACACCAGCGTGACAGACCTGGGAAACAAATGAATACAACAATAGAACTGTTACGTGGCCAGCGGAAAAGGGCGGACACCAGCAGTGACAGACCTGGGAGACAAATGAACAGAATTCCTGCGTGGCCAGCGGAAAAGGGCGGACACCACCAGTGACAGACCTGGGAGACAAATGAATATAGATGTCGCATCCCCAGTGAAAAAGGGCGGACACCAGCAGTGACAGACCTGGGAGACAAATGAATAGAAATGCTACACGGCCAGCGAGCCAGTCGAAATGGGCGGACACCAGCAGTGACACAAAGGGCGGACACATCTTAAGAAAGAATTGAGAACCCCTAAAAGTAAACTGTTTGGGGAAAAAGTGGGAAACAAATGCAAGGAAGTGGGAGACAAGCCGGCCGGAAAGGAAGTGGGAGACAAGCCAGCCGGGAACCCGCGGGAAGCCGACCACAAGCACCCAGGGAGACAAATGAAAAGAAGTGGGAGAGAATTGAAAGGAAGTGGGAGACAAGCCGGCCGGGAACCCGACCACAAGCACCGAGTGTGGGAGACAAATGAAAGGAAGTGGGAAACAAGCCAGCCGGGAACCCGACCACAAGCACCCAGCCTGGGAGACAAATGAAAAGAACTGGGAGACAAGTGAAAAGAAGTGGGAGACAAATGAAAGGAAGTGGGAGACAAGCCAGCCAGAAACCCGACTACTAGCATCCAGCGTGGGAGACAAATGAAAAGAACTGGGAGACAATTAAAAGGAAATGGGAGACAAGTCAAGCAAGTGGGAGACAAGCCAGCCGGGCCAAATGAAAAGAAGTGGGAGACAAATAAATGGAAATGGGAGACAAATGCAAGGAAGTGGGAGACAAGCCAGCCGGGAACCGGACCACAAGCACCCAGCCTGGGAAACAAATGAAAAGAAGTGGGAGACAAATAGAAGGAAGTGGGAGACAAGCCGGCCGGGAACCCGACCCACCACAACCATTCAGCCTGGGAGACAAATGAAAAGAATTGGGAGACAAATGAAAAGAAGTGGGAGACAAATGAAAGGAAGTGGGAGAGGGAACCCGACCACAAGCACCCAGCCTGGGAGACAAATGAAAAGAACTGGGAGACAAGTGAAAAGAAGTGGGAGACAAATGAAAGGAAGCCTGGGAGACAAATGAAAAGCGCTGGGAGACAAATGAAAGGAAGTGGGAGACAAGCCGGCCGGGAACCCGACCAGACCATCCA